GAAAAGTCTCAGTCAGATTTTGGGCTCTGTGCCAATTCATGGATAAGATCTAAGAGCATCCACAGCTGCATGCCGTAAACTGTGACATACAGAAATTTGGGGTATTTTTGTGCACAGCCGTCACCCTCAAACACTTACACCGCAGGAATCATTAAGTGTGAAACCCGATTGAGCAAAGTCGTGGTGTCCGGGTCCGCGACTTTCTTCAATTGCGGATCTCGTTTGCCTTAGGTTTGCTATAGGTTTGCTAGCTTGCATCAAGCTGCCCTCAAGTTGTCCGCCTGAGCTGCAGTATGTCAACTACAACAGCGCATATGTACATATTTAATGAAGCTGATCATTATACCTTCCTTTATCCTTCTGTTATGCATGTTTTTCCTTTCAATATCCTCAGACCACTCAAGATCATGTATGAGTCATGAGCTTTATTATGTATATGTTACAAGAGTCTAGACATATGGTACCTCCATTAGTCCATACTACAGCCTGAGTGGATGACTATGTAGAGGGCAGCTCGAGACAAGCTTGCAAACCTATGGCATGTCGAAATACAATCAAGACTCAACAATGGGTTTTGAAAGTGTTGTTTGAACAGTGTTGTGCAGGACTGTAGTTGTGGTCACGATGTGTTTTGATTTCTGTTTTTCTAATCTATGAGTAGGCAATGTGTGCTGCGCCACGAACGTCTTTCTCAACACTCTTACTGAACATCATCCCCAAACAGTTTTTGTTCTGATTCGTGTTTAGATATATGTTCTGATCTGTTCCCCCGTAATGCTCTCTTTCCCATCTTTCGGAAAGAGAGTACGTATATTTCTACCTTTTCTAAATAACGTAGATATACTAATCCAGTATTATCACTAGAAATTCCGTTTAGATCATATCATCACGAGCCAAGTGTTCATTTAGAATTTTCTCATCTTTATAACTTTTTCCTCCAACTACTTAGGTACATTTCTCACAACCTATTTCTCTATATCATTTATTTTCTAACTTCTTTTCTTCAATCTCTTTGTCTTGACTTCTTTGTTGTGATTAGGTTAGTTCCAGGGTCTGCATACCCTCGGTAAGGAGAAGAGTGCTCACGTTCGCACTATTGTTGTCAGGTTAGTAGAAGTAATCAATTTCATCTTTCGGAAAGAGAAAATTCCGTTTAGATCATATCATCACGAGCCAAGTGTTCATTTATAATTTTCTCATCTTTATAACTTTTTCCTCCAACTACTTAGGTTAGTTCCAGGGTCTGCATACCCTCGGTAAGGAGAAGAGTGCTCACGTTCGCACTATTGTTGTCAGGTATCCGTCTTCTTAGACATTTACATGGTAGCGAGAGAAGTCAGTCGAGATCAGTCAAATCAATACTTGAATGAACGAAGAAGACACTCTACCTAGCGATCATCTTTCGGACACTCAACCTCCATCTAATCCATCATCCATTCACAGCCCCCAATCACAAGTGACTGGCAGCCCAGTACATCCGGTGACCTCAATATGTTTTTAATATGTTTTTAGTTTTTTTTGTAGATGTTTTCAATAGGATGTATACCATTTCCTAACCAGTTATTGTAGAGATCTGCCCCAGTCATCAGAATTATACTGATCAGTCACTGACAAGATCCCAACCAAGTATTGAACAATTGTTTGACAGCTATGGAAGCTCCACATCCATAAATATCACATTCCCTTTCAGAGTGATCCAATTATTAGACAAGCTCTGGAATGTTGGGGCAAGGTGAATCCCTTGATGGAAAAGCCCAGTTTTCTTCTCACTGACCACCTAGATTCCATCTGACCACTTTAGAATGTCAGTACAAGGTGACACCCTTGACGGAAAGCCAAGTTCGCTTTTGGCTGACCACATAGACTTCATTTGACCACTTCAACTGGCAGCCATCTTTCTGCCCTGGAAAACAGAAATCAGTGCAGGTCTCCATTTCAATATCTGACCAATAAAGCTTGGTCCCATGACTAGAACGGCAGGGCGAGTCGTTACTTCAGCACTATTCCAGGCGTAGCTTCTTCCAAGCCATGATCAATAACAATCACACCGCCTTTGAGAATGATCCTATTATTGGAGAATACCTCTTAAGAAAGCGACAGACATCTTGGAAAGAAAGACCACTCAGTCCTATTGCCTTTGAGACCCTTCGAAAAAATGGTTATATAGGGGCAGAGTACACTGCACGCTCAAAATTTGATGTGACCACAAGGATCCTCATTTCAACCAAGCCACATAGCACTTACAAGAAGACGCCTGGAAATAGCTACATCTCATATTCCCACAACTCATGTAAAAGGATGGGCTGTATCACGGATATTATCAAGCTTCCCAATTCTGAACATCCGCTCCTTGTTGTCAATTCATTGATACCTCTTTCTGATGATGACAAACACAAGAGTCCATACTATTCTTTGCCAGACTTGCTGAACACCTCAGTGCTATATGACAAGCATGGAGAATATCATGTCATTGAGTGCGACAAGGTCATTGGGCAGCTAGTTGTCATCAAGAACGAAAAAGGTACTTTTGATATTCAAAGCGAAACACTCTCAACAGTTGAATTGATGAATCTGGTGAGTTTTGAATTGATTTGAGTTCTTGATGTCAACTGACTTTTGTGTTTGACCTTGACCAGGGATTTGTGCAAGGCGAACATGAGGATGATGACATGGATATGGATGGATGATTGCTGCTGAACCTAATAGGATGCTGTAGATGGTATGACCAATTGCACTTGGGTATCCTTTCTGTTTGAACACTCTTGATTTGTAGATGATGCCAATTTGTATCTATGATTTTGAGAGGCATTATATCTGGACTTCACCTGTGAGTCAAGTTATTCACCTGTTGGCTGAGGTGGGTGATTTGAGTGAGATATCTGAAAGCTGTATTTGAATACATCTGATGATAGTGATTCATTGATTTCAGATGCTAATCTGAGGATCAATTCAGCTTGCTGTTCCTGCTGCACAGTCAGGAGGTGAGGATTTCACCAGCTGACTGCACAGCAAGACA